TTGTTGTTGTCGAGGGGCATAAACTCCCGTGTGAGTGCAGCGTCTCGCCCACACGCATTAGTTCAGTTTGCGGCAATTCATGTTCCTTAGTTCATTTCAGCGGGCCGGTCTGTGTAGGTTCATTTATTTAGTGGGCGTCCATGTTGGTTGGTTCGTGTTAGGGGCGCCCATGTTGGTGAGTTCATTTTAGGCGTGTCCATTTAACACGGAGGCTTTCGCGACCAATATCATCCATAATAGAGGTTTTTGGGTTAGATCGCGTAAATATATAAATGTGTCGTTAAAACCCGCCACCACCCCACACAGCCAACTACTAGGGGTTGTCACGTAAGCAGAACGTGGCCAATTCGTCACTAGTACAGCACACTGGTGTGTTGGAGAGCCAAGCCACAACATTTCCAAACTGAGTATACGACGTTTCGCCAGTAATTACAACTAGCTTCATCTGGCGACAGCGAGATTTGTGGAGAAGTCTTACCGTTTCGTTCCTTATGTAGAGGCGTAGATGTGTTGTTCACCCTCCTGCGCTCTTGCACAATGTGAAGGGGGGGGGTTACTGAGGAAACCTACATTATTGCACGTGCATTATGCAAGCCCTCCTCCTAGTGTTCAGGTTGCATTCCCACCGACCCAGCCACTCGGGACGGTCGTTCCCGCTTGGTGAAGTTGGCGAGCCACTAGCTCGGACAGAAGGGGCATTGCCCGAAACATTTGGCTGTATTCGTTGTTCTTTTGATGCAGTGCTATATGCTGGTTTGTTGATTTGTTGTTAACCTGCGTTTTCACACCTCAGATAAGTGCAGTTGGCTACGTACGGTGCGAAAGAACTTCAGCGTACATACAATAATGTACGCCTGCCGTAATATTCGGTTCGGCCACAAGAGGGCAACGTAAGCCGCTGCTGCACCAGGCAACGCAATCTCCACTGCTGCACCCAGCAACGCTATCTCCACTGCTGCACCAGGCAACGCAATCTCCACTGCTGCACCCAGCAACGCAATCTCCACTGCTGCACCAGGCAACGCAATCTCCACTGCTGCACCCAGCAACGCAATCTCTGCTGCTGCACCAGGCAACGCAATCTCCACTGCTGCACCCAGCAACGCAATCTCCACTGCTGCACACAGCAACGCAATCTCCACTGCTGCACCAGGCAACGCAATCTCCACTGCTGCACCCAGCAACGCAATATCCACTGCTGCACCCAGCAACGCAATCTCCACTGCTGCACCAGGCAACGCAATCTCCACTGCTGGAACCAGCAACGCAATCTCCACTGCTGCACCCAGCAACGCAATCTCCACTGCTGCACAAGCAACGCTATCTCCACTGCTGCACCAGGCAACGCAATCTCTACTGCTGCACCAGGCAACGCAATCTCCACTGCTGCACCCAGCAACGCAATCTCCACTGCTGCACCAGGCAACGCAATCTCCACTGCTGCACCAGGCAACGCAATCTCCACTGCTGCACCCAGCAACGCTATCTCCACTGCTGCACCAGGCAACGCAATCTCCGCTGCTGCACCCGGCAACGCAATCTCCACTGCTGCACCAGGCAACGCTATCTCCACTGCTGCACCAGGCAACGCAATCTCCACTGCTGCACCAGGCAACGCAATCTCCACTGCTGCACCAGGCAACGCTATCTCCACTGCTGCACCAGGCAACGCAATCTCCACTGCTGCACCAGGCAACGCAATCTCCTCTGCTGCACCCAGCAACGCAATCTCCGCTGCTGCACCAGGCAACGCAATCTCCACTGCTGCACCAGGCAACGCAATCTCCGCTGCTGCACCAGGCAACGCAATCTCCACTGCTGCACCCAGCAACGCAATCTCCGCTGCTGCACCAGGCAACGCAATCTCCACTGCTGCACCCAGCAACGCAATCTCCGCTGCTGCACCAGGCAACGCAATCTCCACTGCTGCACCAGGCAACGCAATCTCCACTGCTGCACCAGGCAACGCAATCTCCGCTGCTGCACCAGGCAACGCAATCTCCACTGCTGCACCCAGCAACGCAATCTCCGCTGCTGCACCAGGCAACGCAATCTCCACTGCTGCACCCAGCAACGCAATCTCCGCTGCTGCACCAGGCAACGCAATCTCCACTGCTGCACCAGGCAACGCAATCTCCACTGCTGCACCCAGCAACGCAATCTCCACTACTGCACCAGGCAACTCTATCTACACTGCTGCACCCAGCAACGCAATCTCCGCTGCTGCACCAGGCAACGCAATCTCCACTACTGCACCAGGCAACGCTATCTCCACTGCTGCACACAGCAACGCAATCTCCACTGCTGCACCCAGCAACGCAATCTCCACTGCTGCACCCAGCAACGCAATCTCCGCTGCTGCACCAGGCAACGCAATCTCCGCTGCTGCACCCAGCAACGCAATCTCCGCTGCTGCACCAGGCAACGCAATCTCCGCTGCTGCACCAGGCAACGCAATCTCCACTGCTGCACCAGGCAACGCAATCTCCACTGCTGCACCCAGCAACGCAATCTCCGCTGCGGCACCAGGCAACGCAATCTCCACTGCTGCACCCAGCAACGCAATCTCCGCTGCTGCACCAGGCAACGCAATCTCCACTGCTGCACCAGGCAACGCAATCTCCACTGCTGCACCCAGCAACGCAATCTCCACTGCTGCACCCAGCAACGCAATCTCCGCTGCTGCACCAGGCAACGCAATCTCCGCTGCTGCACCCAGCAACGCAATCTCCGCTGCTGCACCAGGCAACGCAATCTCCGCTGCTGCACCAGGCAACGCAATCTCCACTGCTGCACCAGGCAACGCAATCTCCACTGCTGCACCCAGCAACGCAATCTCCGCTGCTGCACCAGGCAACGCAATCTCCACTGCTGCACCCAGCAACGCAATCTCCGCTGCTGCACCAGGCAACGCAATCTCCACTGCTGCACCAGGCAACGCAATCTCCACTGCTGCACACAGCAACGCAATCTCCACTGCTGCACCAGGCAACGCAATCTCCACTGCTGCACCAGGCAACGCTATCTCCACTGCTGCACAAGGCAACGCAATCTCCACTGCTGCACCCAGCAACGCAATCTCCACTGCTGCACCCAGCAACGCTATCTCCACTGCTGCACCCAACAACGCAATCTCCACTGCTGCACCAGGCAACGCAATCTCCACTGCTGCACCAAGCAACGCAATCTCCACTGCTGCACCCAGCAACGCAATCTCCACTGCTGCACCAGGCAACGCTATTTCCACTGCTGCACAAGCAACGCAATCTCCACTGCTTCACCAGGCAACGCAATCTCCGCTGCTGCACCAGGCAACGCAATCTCCACTGCTGCACCCAGCAACACAATCTCCACTGCTGCACCCGGCAACGCTATCTCCACTGCTGCACAAGGCAACGCAATCTCCACTGCTGCACTAGGCAACGCAATCTCCACTGCTGTACCCAGCAACGCTATCTCCACTGCTGCACCCAGCAACGCAATCTCCGCTGCTGCACCAGGCAACGCAATCTCCACTGCTGCACCAGGCAACGCAATTTCCACTGCTGCACCAGGCAACGCAATCTCCGCTGCTGCACCAGGAAACGCAATCTCCACTGCTGCACCCAGCACACTGTTTTAGATTGATTCACTCCAGTCGCCTCCTGATCTCTCTTCTCTTGCTACTACCATGGTCACGGTTTTTGTAAACTACACTCAAGTAAACTCCTACCACGTTGAGGTCTCCAGATGCTGCATGTTTTGTCTCAACCACCACACTGTGTTTAACCACCACCGCCGCTTCACTGCTGGTCACAACAACACACTCACTCATCACTCACTCACTCAACCACCACACTGTGTTTAACCACAACCACCACCTCACTGCTGGTGACAACAACACACTCACCACTCACTAACTCAACTACAACACTGTGTTTAACCACAACCACCACCTCACTGCTGGTCACAACACACCACTCACTCAACCACAGCACTGTGTTTAACCACCACCTCACTGCTGGTCACAACAACACACTCACTCATCACTCACTCAACCACCACACTGTGTTTAACCACAACCACCACCTCACTGCTGGTCACAACAACACACTCACCACTCACTAATTCAACCACAACACTGCGTTTAACCACTACCTCACCGTAGGTTTCAACAACACACTCTCTCACTCACCACTCAACGACCTACACCATTGAACCGCCCCCATACAGCTGATCGCAACATCACACTCACTCACCACTCACTCACTCACTCAACCACCACACTGTCTTCAACCACCACACTAAAGGTCACAACATCACACTCACTCACCACTCACTCAACCACCACACTGTCTTCAACCACCACAGTAAAGGTCACAACAACACACTCACTCACCACTCACTCACTCACTCAACCACCACACTGTCTTCAACCACCACAGTAAAGGTCACAACAACACACTCACTCACCACTCACTCACTCACTCAACCACCACACTGTCTTCAACCACCACAGTAAAGGTCACAACAACACACTCACTCACCACTCACTCACTCAACCACCACACTGTCTTCAACCACCACAGTAAATGTCACAACAACACTTTCACTCATCACTCACTGAACAACCAACACTGTGTCACGCCTGCGCTCAGCAGCCGTGACAATCCACATCCCGCCGTGACTCATCACCTGGAGGACCAGGGAGGAACTCATGATCCCACTGAGCGACCACTACTGCCCGGTGGGAAGGGCACGGCCGCCTCTGCTGCTGCTGCTGCCCGCGCGCCGCTCCATTAGCGGATTGGGAGCCGCAGGTCAAAAACGATGAAATCGCTCGCCCAGCAGCAGCAGCACTTAGCTGATTGCGAGCCGCGCCGCAAAATCAGCTCCTCCTCGCGATCGGCGCATCGCGCTGCGGTGACATGCCGCGTGGAGGTGCGTGCGGAGCACAGCACCACGTGTTTGCGCTGAGCAGCGTGGCGCAGTGACACTCTGTGTGTCACTTCTGCTCAACGCGCCCTTAACCACACGACCCCACCCACCCCGTCCGCGCGTCGCGATCGTGGACCGCGTGCCCAAGGAGGGCACCCCGGGGTCTGCGAGGTGGACGAGGCGAGGGACGTCGCCTCCCGTGGCTTCCCGTGGACGCCGTGACAATCCACATCCCACTCGGGGCGGGACTTGCGGAGTGCGGCGCTGCACGCGGCGGGGAGGACGCGGCCGCCATGGACGAGGTAGAGGTGCCACACAACGGCGGCAAACCCATAGCCTACATCAGGAGGCGAACTTGGGCGGTGAGTGCACCCGCGGAGTGTGTACCTGTCTGTGTGTACCTGTGTCTGTGTGTACCTGTGTCTGTGTGTACCTGTGTCTGTGTGTACCGGCTCCGGATTAACAGCAGAGGTCCCACTCCGAATCAGTCGAGCAGCAATATATTTTCATCGGTTGCGTAACGCTGTGTGGAAGCTACCTGGTCTGTCGCTCCGCACGAAGCTTCAGGTCTTCTCGGCCACGGTCATTTCCTCCCTTCTCTACGCCTGCGAAACGTGGACCCCCCCGAATGGAGAATCTTCGCCGGTTAGAAACATTTAGGCTAGCCTGCCTACGATCCATCCTGGGTTTAACCAGGCTAGATTGTGTGAGGAACTCACAAATCCTTGAAAGATCTGGGCAAAGTCCAAATGGTGAGCTCCTTCGGCAGGCAAGGCTGCGTTGGCTGGGTCATGTAAACCGCATGCCCAGCCACCGCATGCACGGGCTAGAGAAGAGATGGAATGATGTGGTACAGGAGGACGTGGAGCTGAGTGGACTTGCCGATGACTGGTACCAGAGGTGTCAAGATCGGCCTTACTGGAGGAGGCTCGTGAAGGACGCTACTGGGCAGTTGGAGGCAGTTGCCCTCCAACAACAACAGAGGGCGGAGGAGCGACGCTTACAACAACGAGCGGAGCGCCGGGTAGCTAAAGTACAGCAAGTTGGCACAGTAGGGGGCACAGGTGGTGCATCAGCCAGTCATCTCAGTCAGTCGACCTGTGGCACCTGTTGGGTCTGCCCCGTGACCTCCTGCCAGCGGGCGTTCGACACTTCACGTGGCCTCAAGGTGCACATGGCCTGGCACAAGCATCGTGGTGACGTCACCGCCACTTCGTGGCTGGTACCAGCGGTGTCAAGATTGACCTCTGTGAAGAAGGAGGCTCTTGAAGGACTCTCTAGGGCGGTTGGAGGCAGTCGCCCTTCAACAACAGCGGAGGGCAGAGGAGGGAGGCTCACAACAACGAGCGGAGCGCCGTGCGGCTAAAACGCAGCGAGTTGGCACAGTGGGGGGCACAGGTGGTACATCTACAAGCCATCTCCGTCAGTTAACCCATGGCACCTGGGTCTGTCCCGTGATCTCCTGCCAGCGTTCCTTTGACACTTCGCGTGGCTTCAAAAATGCACATAGCCTGGTACAAGCGCCGTGGTGACGTCACCGCCACTTAGTGGCGAATGGCAGTTGTTGTACGTTGCTGTATCTGTGTGTGTGTGTGTACCATGTGTGTACTTGTGTGTAATATCTGTGTGTACATGTGCGTGTGTGTGAGAGTCATCATTGCAGCGATAACACGATGAAAACATCCTGGAAGAACCGGTCAATAAAAGTTTGCCGCACAAATATAAATGTCGAGAGCGACAGACACAGACGTGTTCACTTCTTTAACGGAGTCACGGGAAGAGCCGCCGTGGCGGGAGCGATCAGCAGCGCAACTGGGCACGTGATTCAGATGATCGCCGGTTCGATTCCATCTCCCGGAACCAGTAAACTATTTTTTTAATTTGACTAAGTAATGCCCACCGAGCTCTGTAGCTCTTTTGCAGAAGCGACCTGGCTATCACAAATGATAGCTCAACGAAGTGGCTCATCGTGTAAAAATGTATAGCGGCCAAATGCTCTAAACGCGTGTTGATTCTAAATGTGGAGGGATAAACCCGGAGAAAAATCCACGCGACCATGGGGAGAGAGAGAGAGACATGCAAACTTCAAATATACAGCAGTCGTCAGGGTCAAGATCGAACCCACAACCCCCTGTATACCAGCCGAGGTGGTTAATATCTCGTCGGCAAACTTTGCGTGTGGTTGTGGTTAAAACGTGTACGGTGAGCGTGAAAGTGTGGACCAAAATCCACCCCGAGAGGAGCGATCGCACCGACGAGCCCCCCCCCCCCGCCTCCAGCCTGGCAGCAGTGGCCTGGGCGAACGATCGCAGAGGCTGGTGAACTGGGGGGGAGGAGGGGGGGGAGAATGCCGCACAAATGGTGAGTGGGTATAGCCGTGACGTTTCGTACGTTCGCGCGTGCGGGCCAAGTGCGTTCATTCCGGGAAACTCCACGGGATTCCGGAATGGTTACCGGCTTACCGGGGCAATCGTGTAACAGCCAGCGGGTGTCGCTGCGTGAGCACCTGTGCCTACCCACTATGCATGTGTATGTATGCTGACCTTCGGGGGGTGGGACCGGTATATTTCGGGGTGGGATCGGTGTAACTGGGGTGGGACCGGTGTAACTCGGGGGGTGGGTCTGGTTTAACTTGGGGTGGAACCGGTGGAACTTGGGGTGGGACCAGTGTAACCTGGGTGTGGGACCGGTGTGTCTTGTGGTGTGGGACTGTTGGTATCTTGAGGTGTAGGACCCGTGTCACTTGGAGAGGCCGGTGTAACTCGGGCTATACGACCGTTGTAACTTGGGGTGGGGCCGGTGAAACTCGGTGGGTGGGGCCGGTATAACTCGGGGAGGGACCAGTGTACCTTGGGGTGGGACCGGTGTAACTCGGAGGATCAAACCGGTGGAACTCGGGGAATGGGACCTGTGTAACTCGGTGTGGAACCTTTCTAACTTGGGGTGAGGGACCGGTGTAACTGGGGTTGGGTCCGGGGTAATTCGGGGTGGGACCAGAGTAACTCGGGGTGTACGGCCGGTGTAACTCAAGCTATAGGATTGGTGTAACTCAGGCTATAGGACCACTGTAACACGCGGGGTGGAACCGGCGTAACTCGAGAGTGGGACTGGTTAAACTTGGGTGTGGGACTGATGTATATTGCGCTTGTATCTTGAGGTATGGTACCGGTATAACTTGGAGTGTAAGGCTGGTGTAACTCGGGGAGTGAGTCTGGTGTAACTCTGGGGGTGGGACCGATGTATCTTGGTGTGCGGGACCGGTGTAACTGGGGGTGGGACCGGTGTCACTTAGGGGGTGGGTCCGGTTTAACTTGGGGTTTTGGACCAGTGTAACTCGGGGGGTGGGACTGGTATAACTCTGGGTGAGACCAGTGTAACCCGGGGGTGGAACCGGCGTAACTCGGGGTGTGCGGCCGGTGTCACTCAGGCTATAGGACCGGTGTAACTCGGGGTGGGTCCAATGTAACTCGGGGGGTGGGACCGATGTATCTTGGTGTGCGGGACCGATGCAACTTGGGGTGTGGGACCGTTGTAACACCGCGTTTGGGATCAGTGTATCACGTTAAACGGCTTTCCTTTATATTCTTAGGTTTTTTCGGTAAAGTCACGTAGGTAAAAACATTAAAAAGTAAAATAAAATAAAAATCACGACGTTTCGGAGGCAACACAAGCTTCCGTCTTCAGGTTGTACCGTCACAGCCACGACAGCTGTATCAAGTAAATGAGAGATTGCAGAAGCTACCACTCCGTTTATATAATGGTGGGGCAAGGGCCGCATACTTTTATTAATATGGTAAGGTGAGGCTTGAGACTAAGAATAGACTGGATAACAAAGGCTGAGCCTTTGTTATGGAGAGGTGCGGTTTGTGACTCAACCTGTAACAGGGAGACCACCACTAAACATGGTAAAACTGTGATGGTTGTCTGAAAAAATAAGATTGGCAAATAAGTGTAGTTAAATCTTTTTTGCATGGTTAATCACATCTTTCCAATGATTAGTCAGTTTGTAACCGTCATCACGGTTGAAATTATGTCTGTGTTTGTATATTTGTATGGCTTCGTGTACAAACCTTTGATGGTAGCCAGGAGGTTTGCAGATAACCTTGGTCTCGGAAAATACAATTTCATGAGAGCCCACCGAGTTGTAGCAATGATCGGCAACGGCCGAAGAATCAGTTCTGCCGTGTTTCAGATCTGACTTGTGCTCGCGGACACGATCAGAAACATGACGTTTCGTTTCTCCAATGTAGCAATCACCACAAATGCAACTCAATTTGTAGACTCCAGGATACTGTAAGTCAGGAACGACATCCTTCACAGATGGAATCAAATCACGGATTTTATGCACTGTACTGAATCGGACTTGGATCTTATGTTTGTTTAGAATTTTGGAGATCTTTTTTTTTTCCTTTAGGGAAACATAACTTCAGCAGCATTTCATACTCTTAGGTTATTTCGGTAAAGTCACGGAGATAGGAAAATAAATCAGTAATAGATCACGACGTTTCAATCGCAACAACAAACGATCATCCTCAGGTGAAAGAGAGAAACATGCCTCTGTGACGAGGCATATATAGAGGGGGAGGGGGGAGGGGAGGCCGTAAAGGGGCGAGAGGGTGGGGATACAATTCAAAGAGGGCTTGGGTGAGAGAGAGAAAAAAAATTAACCCGTAAAAACAAAGTTTTTCACTATAAATCCTTTATATGCGTGGCGGCTAGAGTCCTCTCGTCCTCTGGCTTGAGATGGCTGCCACCTATGGGTCAGATGATTGTCTGCAGTATTAAACAATTGGTAATTAAATATTTAATTATTTTTCCCTAAACAGTGTAAAATTTTGGAAAAGATTTTTCACGAAAATTAATTGTCACGCACAACGAGTCTGTGTGCAAAATGTCAGCTCGATTGGATCACGGGAAGTGGGTTAAAAAACGACCGAAAGGTTTGCACGGTCGTAAGCAAGCACGCAAGCACGCAAGCACGCAAGCAAGCAAGCAAGCGAACTTAATATAAAGGATTTTAAAAGAAATGTGACAAGGAAGCTGAGATATCAAACTTAACAAAATTTAGAAATGTAATGCAACTCAGAGAGTCGACTAACACAACAGTTAACACTCTACCCGGTTGATCAAGTCCTTCCAAAGATTGCTAAATTTTGCATCCATCTTCTCGTTTGAAATTATGTCTGAGTTGTGTGGAAAACCTCTCCGTAGAGGCGGTTCAATCTTGATTAGAAGCTTGTTCCTCTCTTTCACCTGAGGACGATCGCTTGTTGTTGCGATCAAAACGTCGTGATCTATTATTTATTTATTTTCCTATCCACGTGACTTTACCGAAAGAACCTCAGAGTATGAAATATTGCAG